AGGATAACTAAAATAAAGTCACTGAAAATAGCAGAGATTTTACGTCGCGTCAGTGATTGACATAATTATTCTGATTTTTACTTAAAACAACACAACCTACACAAATTATTACATCACATTTCGTTAGAAAAAAGAACCGGAACTCATGGTTAGTTAAGGTTGTTCAATCCATGAGAATAGACAATATGCAACGGATAGTTTCTCTAGGATTTTTATTGATTCACTTTAGAAACCATTTCTCTAGAGTTAAAAAGTTCACCTTTGTGTAGGGAAATTCCTGAAAGTCAATAAATAATTAACGAAACGTGAGTGAGGATTTTAATTTTAGGTTAGTGACTGACATTACTTGAAGTTCTGATGAGAAACCGTGACCTGTGGGGTCAACCATTCGAAAGGGAAGTGGATGCCAACTGAAGACCATGAATGATAGTCGCTCTATATCACTAAATGACAGAAATTGGGAACGGTGAACTACTGAACTCCCACCAAATGACTGAATAGTTAACGTGTTCGCCGTGAAACCTGAAGGTCCTAAGTGCGATCCCTAACCGGATCGTGGGTGCGTACTGCTGAGGAGTCCCATACTGGGAAAAAGCACCTGCATAGTACTTTCGGGTAGTTTTCATTGGTTCTCCAGCTGATATCAGTTCATGATGCATACTACCTCAAAAAGTGAATAGATGAAGAAATGGCTTCATTCAAGTGGAGATCATCCATCTTTTTTGTGAATCGAAAAAAGGGACATATCAAACAAGTAGTATGTCTAAAATGATACTTGATAAATTCATCGATATTTCCAATATGCAGAAAAATAAAAGCGAATAAATAACTTACAGCGAAATAAACATAAGCCTTTTTGCAGTGATGAACAACTACACTGCTTAGCGATAAGTGGGCTAAATCTGTTTCTAAACTTTGTTAGGCAGATACATTTATAGCGCTGATGTGCAAGTTTTATAGCATTGTTTCTCGGTCATCATCAAGTTTAATGTATACTGCATAGTTTTAGCTTGAAACTGTCTGTGCGTGATGACTGGTTGTTATTTACACAGATGTACACAACTATTTATATTCTTTGAGGATAATTTTCATCACTGGTAAACACATTTAGAAAGGTTTTGAATTGTTTTTACTGCATTCAAACAAGTCTACATTACAGAAGTAAATAATATATAAGATAAAAAAAACCTATAGACTCCAACTGTCTCCCGAAATTTGAAAGTGAAATGAAATATCCAAATTCAAGCTGCACTTGACAAATTCCATCTTTTTCAAAACACAATCGGATGTGCAGATGCTACTGGTGCTTTACAAATGAGTAAGATACATACGGTATCTATACTCTTTTCTGATTATTTATGCACTTTGCATGTTAAAATGACTACTGAATATATATGGTGGGGTCGGCATGTTAAACAGCTTTTTCAAATTGGACTGGTCATTTAAGAAAACGCATACAGCCTTTATTTTCAGATCTTTATCTTCATGAAATAATATGGAATTTATATCAATTTCCCATGAACGAAACTTGGGCCTTCACTGAATGTTCCGGGTGGCTAGAATTGACTTAGTAACTGGTTAAAGAGAAATATAGGCTAAAATGGTTTCCGTTTATTTCGAATTTGCTTCAGTAATCAAAATCCCACGATTATATACCATTACCTACTCAGATAACAGTTTTTCCCTGGATCATTGAATAAAATCTTTTAATACATGCTTTTAATAAGGAAATTTAATTCTAGCAAAAATATCCAAACTATTCTTATTTTGTGTAGCAATTCAGTATGTTTACAATGTTAAGTTTAACCTAGTTACCTTAACAAAAGTATTACTTTAAGTTTTTATTCCTTATTCATGAAGTATATTCTTGATACTTCTGACACTCACTTGAAAAAATTGGAGTGGATGTAGCACACACAAGGCACTTGTGCATATCGAAGCCTGTCTCTGCATTTGAAACCTCCTTATTGCCAATTTTCAAGCGTGTTGAATAGCAAGTTCAACATAGTATGTACTGCGAAAAGATGTGCAAGCATTTAGCGGTAAGTTATATAATGAACTATAAGTGTAAAAACATGAGGGAACTACGCTGAAGTTGAATGATAAGCTTAGCACCAACGTAAGCACACTTTTTAGATTCATGCTTTCATTTCTCTAATTTTATACCGAGTACTTCTCATTAATGTTCATCTACACTTATTTAGCATCAATATGATATATATATATATATATATATATATATATAATAACTAGACATCGGATTTCTACTTTGTTAAAGCCTCACCTGTTTTGAAATGTTAACATGATTGATTTTATCAAAGTAGTAACAATAAAAAACCTTTTTCAAGCTGTAGAAATCATTTTTTTTATTATGTATGCTACTTAATAACAGACGAATCATTTACATTTGATAAGTCAAACTTGACTGTCGTTTCATTTAATTTTGCAGTCGTCATGTCGAAATCACAGTTTAAAAAAGCTGTCATTTTTGACAAAAGTTTAATTTAAATGGATGGTATGTATTTATTAAAAAGGATGCACATAGGTACTTTTACATCACTGTGTGAATTATGGACGGATAAGTATGTCTGAAATTTATTTTACTAAACCTACCATGTTTTTCGAAAGCTAGAAATTTATTATTACCATAAAATTTATTCAATTTTTATGCCGATGAAGTAATTATTATAACCGCAATCATTTTCTCATTCCTTGGAGGACTAGGTCCTCTTTCTATAACTAATTTGTTTCTTAATTGAGAACGTAAATAACTTTTAAGTTGAAGGCACTTCAATTCACCAAAGATAAATCCACACATGATTTTGTTGTCAAAAGTCAAAAACACCAAAACTAAGGGCGCTGTCGAAAAATGACGAACAGTTTTACAGCACACTTTTGTTGAACGAGTCAAATGACGTGAGTTTCTCGGAGTTGTTTTTATTAATCACTGTTTTAGTCTGACATTTCGCATTGGAAAAGTTTTTTGTTAAATCAGTTAGGAAATTGCTGAACAGTAAGATATTTGTTTTATGGTAGTTCTATAACTCCCAAAAGTTCGTAATGTTAACATGACAAGGAACTGGGCTCGAGACCTGTATATGTTATATTAAGCACATCCGAACTGAGTTATTTAGTTAAAATTCATCAAAAGGTTGTCATACTCAATCATAACTTCGTTATAAAGATGTATGAACGAAAAGGTCAGTAACTCAGTGAAGCCCGACTTCCGTAAATCACTAACAAAGCATAATATCTGTTTTAATTATTTAGACATTGGGCACTGTTCCGATTCCACAAAGAATACCTTTCTTGCTTTATTCGCTACGAGGTAATGAAAAACACACTTAGAATCAATGATAACCGAAGTTATTTGGACTTGATTAGGTGGTTTTTAAATTTTTTTGAAAATTTAAATAAGAGAGGGAGAATTTTAACATATTCCTAAATCAGATGGTTGGTTTTTTCACTCTATGTTTTTGTTATATACGGAAAAACATCAATATGTATGACGTAAGTGCGAAATAAAATCGGTATACGATGTAAATCTAACTGAAAGGCACATGGATACAAAACTAGTTTTGAATTCGTATTCAATAATTAATATTGAAAAGTAGAAGGAGAAAAATTCTAGAAGACGTTACATAAGTATTGAAATGAAAAAATAAAAAAGTATTTTTCTTGTTCCCCTCTGTTTAATATTCAAATAACATTTGAGTCAGTAATTGCACTAAATTCTATAAAAGTAGGACAGGAGGTTGATTTTGACAAAATAAAAATTCTATGAAGTAATTATTTAACATATAATGAAAGACTGATTACCAGGTTCGTCCGTATATAGATTAAATCCAACAGAATGAACTGACAAGACACAGTGTAGTTGGCTAGACCTGGGAACTTATTGGTTATTGACTGAGCAAAGAAAATTAAAATAAACATTAGGGGCGTTGTTCCATTTATTCTCTTTTCTATTTGCACTAAGTGCATTAACATCATCATCACCTGCAACTAACTATGTGCGTTTCGTATCATTGTCTTCTTGTCATCATTTTTTATTCTACTGCATTAAACAAACAAGGGTAAGACAGAGACCTACCTTCATGTCTTCATACTTTTATGCCATATATGTACAGCAGGTATATATTCTTCATACAGTGACAATTATGACGCTTATGGTGGTTACTTAACTTGTAATAGGTCATCTTGAAAAGACAAACATACAAACACTGACTTACATTCATACAACAATTCACAGTGAAAGGGTGATAAGCATGTTGAGAAACAATCATGAACCGTACGACATTAACTAGTAAGGTGGACCACCAGACTTCGACCCCTTGTTTGTACAACACTACAGTTTTAGGCTATTTCCTTGAAGGAACGCGGACAAAACGTTTGTGCGCAACTTTGGAAATATACAACTCAACAATGTTGAGATTTAGACAACCACTATTTATATTTAGTGTCAGTTTTTCACTTGGTGCCCTATACTTGTGAAATTTATCAGTAACAAAAGATGACTATTCTCAGTAACTTAAGTGAATTTGAATTTTCGTAGTAAGCTAAAATTTGTATTATCTGAATATGCTGGAGTTAGATGAGTGTCATCGTTATAACCTTTCAGTAGGAAGATGTCTTTGAACTAATAATCACTTTCTGACTTGCTAACTCTAAACTTTGTAAAACATTGCTTTTGGTGACAATCTTGTTTCAGAAAAGAATTACACTGCAACATAAAGGAATCATAAGCTAAGATGTTTAGTTTCAGTGTCATATACTTGCTGTCTACAAGTTTCAGAACAGGTAGGTTAATATTCGTTCGTACAAATGTTCATAGATAACAAGCTGAATTCACTGCATGAGATAAGGACAAAAAAATTACGTGACAAAAATGTTTTGCTTACTAAGTTTTGAATACTTCTAACAACTATTGTCTTGGTTTTAGCTTGGTTTCAAACAGGTGTTTTCACTATTTTGTTCTTTTTATTAGATATACTGCAATAATGTTTCCTCTTCGACCACGGTCCAAACTGAAGACAATTATGTGTGTAATAGTTGCTATCTGGCTTATATCTTTTGCTATCGGGTTGCCGTGTCTAATTGTTGCTGCAGTGCTTCCAAAAAAACCAGAGTTGATTGGAAACATGGGAAATTATACAGAAGCATCCATTATCGTAGACCAGTTAACAGTTAGTTCACTTAATCAATATATATCAAATGACTGTGTTCTAAACTGGTCTTCAGAATGGTCTGAAGCGTGAGTTATTATTGCCATTCAGAATACTTTCGAAATGCTTAATTTGTTGATAATCTCGAGTCTTATTATACATATTCGGCGCAATATTATTTCCTTGTATCGTGGATGTTTACGATATCGAACCCAAAAAAAGATTGCTGTTACTGGTCAGCAGTTATGAAAATGTGATCAGCTTCTGGGAAGGACACATGATTTCAGATAAGTGGGAGAAGAAATTGTAGTTTGTTAGTAAAGTATGAATGCGACTATCAGTAAGACTTATTTGCACTCTTCAGATTGTTCCAGTCCTCAGACGCTTGTATTTTACCTTATTTTGATGGTCATCAGATTTGAGAGGAAGCTGCGTAGAAATTTTAATGTTGTAAATTACCGAGGGTTTAGCAATAATATCTTCTTATTTATTAGAATGTCATGCCAGTAGTTAACAGTGTTTAGATTAATTCACAACCGGTATTCAGAAACTTAAAGGATGAAATACTATGTAAGAAAAGGAGTAGGGATTGTAACCTAGTTAATTAGGTCATGCTTTTAAAAGATATTGCAGTTCATGTCCACAAACTGCTGATTGGTACAGAAATGTACAACAAGTAGTGACCATATAACGTATGTAGATGCTTCATCGGTTCGAATCTCTTTTCTAACAAATAGTGAGGAGATGTATGCAAAATTCAATTGCGACTATTACGTAGGACGAAACGTCGAGCCAAAAATTGCAAGAAAAACAAAGGAACCTCGGGTATGAATATATTTTAGATGCACTTAAATCTTCAAATGTTTCTACCGATTTCATCCTTGGCGTATCCTGACGAAATAACTAGTTAAAACTGCTAAGTGGCGAAACGAAGATTCAGCTTTTATCTGGATTAAATCTTAAAACATTAGAGATTTTTTGCTCATGGCATTGTTCTACTATCAGAACGCGTCATCATCTTGGCAAGAGAGATTCTTTTATAAATGTAAAAAAGTAATTGGATTTATAGCATCAAGTTTGCTGACCATCTCTTTATTTAAAAACTATTCGCAAAGGAACGGTGTCCAGAGATAAATCAGAAGCTTGGAAAACGTTAGATGAATAAACCAAAGAATGAATTGTCGGGTAAATTTTTAAATGAAGCAGTGATAAAATTTCTGTTGTTATGTTTCTCATCGCTTTAAAGCAAATAGCAAAATAAATGATGGACAGTGAGTAAGATATCTGAATTTGTTAAAGATCATAGAACCGTCGATCAAGCGCATTTGTTTAGCTGATAAGAAATACTTCATTTTTTTGGAATAAAACCAGTATAAAGAAGTGTGCATGTAGACAAATATTAGCTACAGTAATACAGGGATTGTTGGATGTGGATTAATACACCGACAATTTTGGGATTTGGACAATTTCAGAGAAGCACTTCGAAAAAACCTTTCGTCTAAGAAGTGTATATGTTGCGTTAGAAAAACTAATATCCATATACGTAGACCGCAAATTTTAATCAATATTTCTGTTTTCGTGACTGTGTACACTTCAAAATATATGCATATACCTCCAATATATATTATGTTTCTGATAAGGTGACCGGATAGTACTCTATCTTAGATTTCCCCGAATTAATGGGTCACGAATTAAGAACTCTCGTTAAAAAGCCACAACAGTTTAACAAGTGACAGTGGATACTCGTCACTATAAAAAATTTGTCTTTCCAAACACTCATGAATAAAAGACCAATAAAAAGGCAATAATATGACCTCTGATCAAGGTTATCATAGGACTAACAAAATATGAATAATACTATGTTAGACCAAAGTTAAGGCCGAGTATTAAGGCCACATTTTATGTGAAAATCACTGACTAGTCAACTGTCTTTCTATCCCTTCTACAAGTTAATATTTATCTAGCGGCAACTCACTGCAGTATTAAACTGCATGGTGTTAAATGTTACTTTCGTTGTGGTTACTTTATAAACATTCAGCTGATTACAAGACTAGACACAATGAAGACAAACGTTTTACAGTTTCATTGCTTTATTTGCACTGAAATCATGTAGAAGCTATGTTTTTAGACCTACATTTGAGGTCACCGTCAAACGGAAATTTTAATTAGAATTCACGAAGCCCTAATTGCTCTGTAAGCCTTCGTTGAAAGCAGTAATCGAACATTCTGGCAGTGAATTACTCAAAGAAGATAATAAAAGATGCATATGACAGAGTGTATTGTGAATCATTTAGTTTTTATGACTTTTTAATCGTAACCTATATATACTGTATGCATATGTAGCCGCGCATGACTTCAAGATGAAATACTGAAATTAACATTTGTAATTTGATCAAAATTTTTATGAGGAGAAAAATTCAGTGTGATTTCTAGAATTTCATCTTCATAAGTAACATTACCAGGAAAGATATCCGAAGTGAACATTTTCTGATTAGTTTCTTCATTTTATGTAGGTTGTTTAATCAGCAATCGATTTCAGAAGACGAGAAGTTCAGCAAAGATATTTTTTAAGCGACTTAATTCTTCATAGCTGTACAACCAAAATGTATACATTTTTTTGACATTTATTTCCTTGACATATGTAGATATATATTTTCAGTGATTAGCATGTGCATGAAATGCCCTCAAGATAATTAAAAATCGCACGAGATCAGCATGTTCTTCTGTCCTCAGGAAATACCAAGTGAGGTTTCACGAAAAGACAACTTTTATAACACGACAGAATCGATTTCATGCTCATCATTTTGTCAGATATTTCCTATGTCAAGTAAATCATTTTAGATACTGTTGAAGGATGACTCCCTCCTTTTTTATTTTAAATAATTACACACGTGAAGATATTTCGCAAAAGACTTCATAGGTGCATCTTCTGACGTAAAATGCAGCTTCTCCTCCCTTAAATTCTGGACAGTTGTATTTTCTATTGTATCCAGCTATCATTTTTTGCCCCTATTGCACTTGTCTGTAACAAACACAGTCACGGTTGGGACCATAGATTTGAAATTTAGGTCAGGAAATCCAAAGAAGTGGTTTAGAATATTGAACAGTAGGATGTTTCGATCACATTCTAATGTGATAATTTAATCTGGACAGCACTGAAGAAAGAAACCTAGGACGGGAAAGAAAATTTCGTAGGGAACACACAAATTTTGGAAAATATCAATAAATAAATGTGAGTTGAAATCAAGAATTGCAGAATACGTAACAAAGTGAAAAACAGCTTAATATGAGGAAGGGAATATAAAATTATTATCTTTGCTAAAAGTATTCTCTAATTTTTTACTACCTTCAACATTGACAGCTGGTTAGTCACCTTGTTACGAATTGATCGATTCCTGATTTAATCTGACATTTATTTACTTACATTTCCAAGTATTTTCATAAATCTTACATAACTTTCCTTCCTGCTTTATTTTCCTAGTCACAACCTACTATGAATTCTCGATATCCTTAACACGAAACTATCAGAACAAAAATAAAATCAAGTTAAAATAATTACCAACAAGTTGAAAAATGAATTCATTTCTCCTTTACTAAATTTATTTTTAGGTATGATTACACACTTTTTATTTTAATGTATGTCCTGCCACTGATGATACTTGCTGCAACTTACGTTCCAATTTCAATACACTTATGGTTTCATAGAGGACTTGGAGAAGTAACTCGAGCACAGGCTCAAAATGTTCGTTCAAAGAGACGAGTAAGTAATTCAAACTCTTCTATATTGGTAATTGCTGCAAACGTTGTAGAGATAGTCACTGTGGGTTGGTTGAAGGCAATCGGCAGGAAGCCCTTGGACCTAGCTTTAGTACTTGCTGGCACTCCAACTTCCAGGTTACTACTGTCGCTTGTTTATGAAGTTTGAATTTAATCTGCCTGGCAAATAGAATATCCGTCGTTTAGATTCGAAACAAGTTGCCTACAGTGATAAGTTTAAAGTTCAAGTTTCAACTTGAAACGACGTCATTTACTTATTCAAAGTTTGTGTTTAGCAGACACTGATTCATTGGAGACATTAAATCTACATTGACCGTAGCAGGCACTAACCACTGACGATTATAGTTAAAATTTTACCAAAAGTTTGTGAAAATAAGTACATCATCCAGTACCTTAGATAAACTTAAGGTACCATTGTTGTTTATCATTTAATCTACCACAAATATGAATAACATAATGCCCAAAAAAGAGAATAGTTCAACATAGACACTAATAAAAAAGCATATTGAGTGTTTACAAGCAAGATTACTTTGACCCTAAAACTACTCAAAAAGATGTCTTAACCATGTCTTCGCAATCATAAGTCCAAATTCTATAATAAGTATTATCCTGAATAAGTCGAACAGTTGTCATATAGACAGCTGAATGAAACAATTTATATGCTTTTAGACTCTGCATTGTGTTCTGTACATGTTGAGGCTGTAACCAAGTTCTATGAAATAGTATTTCGCAAATTTCTATGCTATGGATGAGGTTATACGAAGAAAGAAAGCTTATGTAGAACACATTTGGGAAGATTCGATAACCAGCATTTTTATTAAACTTTTTGGAAATTTTTGTAATAGAGGAGAATTCGGTGTCATAGTTTTATTCGAAGATTTCAAGCAGTTATTCATAAAAGCGTGTTATATGTGGTCTTTATGAAGCCTAAAGGTATCAATTTCATATGTTAAATGGACGAAATAATCAAGATTTAAAGGTTTTGCTTACCTTGCAGCAGCCATTTATCGAAGTGTGTTTAGAAACTTTATATCAAACAAACGTATATCTGTTCTTCAAATACCTGAAGAACTTTTTAACCTCTGTTCTTTTAGATTGCAATTTATTCTCGATGAAGTAGTTTTTCTAAGTAAAGTTTATATGCTATCCAACTGCTGTCATAATTATTTTTGTTTAAACATTCATTTTTCGGCATTTCTATACTGATGTTACTTGAAAGGCTGTGAAAATGCTCTGCGCTGTTATGCTTATATTTGCAATATGCTGGTTGCCGTACCAATTAATTTTCATCATACTGCAATTAAACCCAGCAATAAAAAGTAGTCATCATTTACCAGTTGTGTTCATTTGTTGTTATTGGTTGGCAATGAGTAATTCAATGTACAATCCAATTATATACGTTTTAATGAATAAAAAGTGAGTTGACGGGCTTTTCTTTTTCATTTTAGTTATTTTAATTAAAAGTAAGATACATTTTCATCTAAGTGCATAACACTGCGACTTGATCGTATTCACTACTGCACATTAGAATTGTTAAAATTGGTAGATATAAGAAATTTCTCAGACTAGAGGATGCTGACACCAGAAGGTTAAACAGCACAAGAAGTACAATTCAAAACAACAGAAGCAAAAATCACATGGCTGAAGTGCAACAGACTAAATGTGTGACACATTTTCACGCATTCTTCAGTGACACGTCAGCGTGAATTGAATCGAAACATACTTAGCAAATCCCTGCACGTTTATGCAGTAAGCAGTGTACCGAACCTATGGTTTGCAAGCTAATAATACCATATAAATTTTGAACCAACTTCAAATGGTAGGAACTCGAATTCTTTGGCAGCAAGTCACAGATCTATACCCAATATGACAAGATATTTTGATAAGAAAAAAAGAGTAAAACTTGCTATGTAGATGTATATCTTATTGGAGTGGATGAATGCAAGGCTATGAGGTTAGAATCTACTTGTCTGAATATTCTTTCGATACAAAACTCTTGTCAAATTCAGTTATGATCCCATCTAAATTATTGCGATGACTATATGCCTTTAAATTTGAGTTTTCCTGAATTTTCTAAAGTCATTGAATTATAAGTAAGAAGTACATAGAGTATTCATTTATTAGTATTATTACTATTATTATCATTAGTATTTGTCCCTTAGGTTCCTAGTGAAACATGGGCTTCAGGAGCACGTCTCTATTCCAATTTCTCCTCTTCAGCCTTCTCAACCTCGCTCCACGACTACCCACAAGCTTTCATTTCTTCCTCACATGATCTCCCCATGTCTCCATCAGCTATGAACCCCCAACTCGTCGTTTTCCATTCGAGTCCCACTCGATGCCCCGACCTCGTGCGTGATGTCCCTGAATGCTCTTCTCACTGTATGCCCAATCCAATCCATCTCCACTTTCTTCTGCATGTTTGTAGGTCAATAGGTTCTCGGTTGGTTTGTTGCCTGCCAGCCAGCCAGCCAGCCAGAGTTCCTCGTTCTTACTATTCTTACTATTCTGGCCATCTGATCTCCAGTGTCAGTATCGGGTGAGTGTAGGCGGCAGCCGTTGATGAATGTCTGTCTTTTTTTTCCGATACCAGCTTTGGCATCTTCATCTGTGCCGCCAGTAGTTGAGATGATGCTGGTTGGGCAGAAAGGCGAAAGAGACAACTTGCTTGAGGTTTCTTCCGTTGATGCTGATTGGTGATTGGCATCACACAAAGTATCCGTAGTTACACTTAGTTGGTGTGCATGCTGATATGATAATAGGAAAATTTTATTTCTAAGCTTGTCATATAAATGAAAATAGTATGTAGAGCCTTTTGACAGTTCCATAATTTCTGCTATCTTTCCTGGTTTCCAACACCTACTAATGTGAACTTTTCATTAGCTTCTTTTATTTGTCTATACGTCCTTCGGTAACGTTTCTATGACCTTATCAACATTTAACGTCTCTTTGCTATTAAGTTTAATGTATTAAATAGTTATGGATTGAGCTGGTAATTTTATCTTGTCATCACTTGACACAAAATGATGAAATATCAACTAATTGTCTCTGACGAGTGTAATTTGAAGGATGGTAACATCAAATGAGTGAAATATGACCTTGTAAAATAAATAGGGATATAAAGAATTTTACTACTGAATGATCCCTAACTATAAGGATACTAAACATGTGACTTTTTAAACAACGTCAGTTATTATAGGTAATAATATTTTAATATAAGCGAATAGGACTGTTGATGTTATGTTTACCGTACTGGCTTATTTTAACTACTGGAATATATAAAAAAAAGTATATTGATCAATTATGAAGGAAGCATAACTAGATTTGTGAGGAGACCTGACAAATATCTAGATGACGTGAAGAGCAATTTCAGCAATTTTATTTCTGAGGTGACGCAGAGATGTTGTAACAGCTCCAGATCGTCGATTTACATTACAGTCTGACAAATCTATTAGTGATTGGACCGGGATCTAAATCCTATTTAGAAGTTCAGTGAAGTATCCCTTTGGGGCTGTATTTCAGCAAAGGATGGTATTTAAGTCTTCGCTTTACTTTTTAAAAACGTTAGTAATATTTGACATGTAGAAACTGAATGCAATGAATTACATGTAATCGACCTAAATTAGTTCACAAAAGGAAGCCTTCTTTTAAACGAATTACACTCAGTGTTTTCATTACTAGGCAATAAATGGTTAAAAGTTGGCTGTTTATTGGAAATCGATTTCATTTGAAGAACCATTGAGAACCTAGAGGCATCTTAAATTCCGTTTCAACCTGGTCTTGCAATCCACAGTAGTATAAACCCATAGCTGTTTAAGGGAATCAGTCCAATGCCTTCAGATTCCACGGATAACGTATCACTCTGCAACCAATGGTTAGATTTCAACAGTCCATGCTTTCATAGTTCTGTCAAACCAGGATACAGTCCAAACACTGTTTTCTGCCATCAGCAGGCAGTCTGCTTCAAATCCGATTTCCTTAGTTAGTTCTTATATCTAAATCCAATTTGAATTCTGTGATAATATGTTTATTTCTAAGAAAACTCGAATTTTCCATCTTACCTTATTCGCCACTTCAGAATGTAATAATTAGTTGTTATCACTTGCTGAAAAATTCAAATTTAAGGGTGTTGTTTTAGCTTTTATTTTGAAAAAGATTTTGACTACAAAACTGTTTACTCAAAATGCCAACTCGAAATCACTGTTGTGATTAGCCGGTTTCATTATTCAAATAGGACGACTTGGTTATAATAATTTACGATTCCTATGCATAAGAAGAAAGGTACGGTCAAATAACCTGTTCAAAATAGACGATATACCCAAATTTATTCTACTTATGCTTTTATTCATGAATACTAAGAAAAAAACCAGCCAAAAGTACCAGGAGACTCACTCAAGATAATCTGTACTTATAGCTGCAAGTTATTTTAGTCGACACATGTCAAAAACAAGAATTAGTAGACTATAACATTTAAAAAATTTTCCAATATTTTTTGCTGCAAAATTTAGGACTAGTCACACTTGATATATAGGCATTCTGTTTATCAGAGAAACAAGAATGAAGTTCTATGCATTTTATCGAACAATTTATCGATGTGCCAATAAAATTACCATTTACTCTGGTTGGGTACATTACTGTATATCATTTTGAATACTGTAGTCCATTTTCATTTGTTAAAATTAAATTTGATCTTTCATGTTGGTGGTATTTGTGTTTCGCAATAGAAATGCACTGACAAATTGATATGGTTTTTAAAGAAGCACCAGTCGATTATATCAAACGTCAGCCCAAAAGATCAACAGCATACGAAGATATTGTGAAAGCTTCTTTATAGGTATCACACTGTTGAAAAAAATACTCCGTAATTATGTTATTCCAGTGAGGAATCCTGTACTGTGGCAGCGACACCAGTTGTAAGAAACGCCGAGATTGTGTCGCAGGAAGGAATGTCTATTATGACACCTTGCACAGTATTGATGAAACAGTGTACACTTCCCACTAAAACAGTAATTTGCATAATGTGCTTCATTTCCTCTTCTACTTCTATCTCGATTTATTTACCCATCACCGGTAGTTCTCTATGACTTCTGCTGACCTCTCAACACTTAGAAAACATATTCATTCTTATCAGCAGCATCCACTATACTAGAACGAAACAGTTATTTAGTGTTCCTAGAATCTTACTAGTTCCTGAAATAATGTCATTTTGTGATCAAAAACTTATTTAAATCCCTATAAATGTTCAGTCTTAAGTCAATGAAGTTGTGAAAGCTTATACTTTAATAGTACTAAGGCCACTGTCCACTCAGGAACTTCATAAGTAGCTGAAGCGGTAGTCAACATACGCTATTTCACTAGATCAACCAAGATTTTTTATATGGACCTGCAGGTTGATATATACTTTCAGAAGTGAATGCTAAAAAAACATCATTTGAAGGCCAACTTACCACATATGAAAGTATTTGGATAACTTCAACATATATCGTTATGATATCTACATATATAGTATTTTCATTGTATAAACGACCTAAAATACTGTTTGATACCTGAAATCTTGCTCTGCCATACTACTTTGAATAACCCAACCTATGTTACGATATGAGTTCGAATGTGGATATCTCGATACAACCCAATTACTCACACTGTTATCTCTAATGCTGAATTACAAATATCAAACAATACTTGGTCTTCTTGGAACGAGAGGTAGTTCCCGTCCGACACCAACCTAGATAGAGGAAAACGCGTTGGTGTTTGAAGTGATAGGTGCTGTATTCAAGTCCCAGAGAGAACATCACGCACTCGGTTGCAGGAATGTACATATGACGAACTTTAAACAAGAAGGAACCAAGTCTTAGTTTCTACTGCCAGTCACTACAAAGATCACGACCATGAATAGTTGTTAGTAATATGAAGCATGATTACTTTCGAAAATTCGAAGCACAGAAAATTACACGCAAGTTCTTGTATGCTGCCACTGCACTTAAAAAACTGTTTTTCACTGCAAATTTCCGGAGTGGGTTTATGAAAGCATGCACTCAGGCTTCTTATAAAAAAGCTAGATGTTTCTTTCTAAAATAATATCCGTAATTAAGGAATCGTAACAAATTTGACGGTTTACTTTCCTAACAGTATATATGCCTAATTCTTTGATGTGCAAAACACGACCTTGGATGTGATATTGTACTGATTATTTGTTTTTTGATAGAAAGGATAGTAAAAGGAGTTAAACTCTTGTAGGACTGGGTTTTTGTTATAATTTTCTGCTAAAGATCCTCAGATGATCCATTTACGACATTGTTCTTCGCAGCAACTGTCCTATGATTTAACGGCTAAATACTAATTACTAAGTGGAAATGCATTCATCATCTAACATTTGTTATCCTCTTCCTAAGAATGTTTTGGGGTCGCTATCCGTAAGTCTTACTTTATGTTTATCAAACAAAGAATAAATCTGTTAACTGTTGAACATCAAGTCCGTTAGTTGTGTTGGAATCATCTTTTCAACTTTATCCTAGGAGAAGAAACCGAAATTCGTTTTTGTATCAGAAATTTTACACATTAGCCAGAAAATGTTTTAAGATCCAGCTTAGCACCAAAACGCCGAATTCATTCATGAAATATACAAAAATTACGTACTATTTCCACTTTCAAGTATTATCCTTTTGTTAAACGTAGTAATAAAACATACTTTAAAAATAATCCCTAGAATTTCGAAATAATGATTAAAATTATTCTATGAATTTTAAGTTAATATCCTTCAGATAGTGCAAACAACTATTATTTTTAAATGTTGTAACGACAGTGTAGAAACACAACGATGTGTTCTACTTCAAACTGCAAATTTTCCTTTGTGATATCACTGGTAGTTCATTCTAAATGAAGTCACGTTCACATTTTAATGTAGAAGCTGCACAAATTATTTCTTTTAAGATGCGGAAACATTTACACTTCAGTAAATCATGTTATGCGACGAATTGAAAAAGCAACTTAGGACTTATTGTATTGGTGAATATAAAATTGTTTTTTTATTTGTTTTCACTTTAAGGGATAGTAGGTACAAAATGAGGAATATTTTAGAACAAATTAAGACGAACTAAATTGTGACAAGCAAAGATCACTTGAAAACCAGCTGAAATTAGTTTTATATTAGAACCTGGTATTGTTCATGTTTATTTGTTTCCATGTAGTAGACTGACCTACCTTGCAGCATTAACTTCTGTGTAGAATCCTCCATAGATTGGTGACAGCTTCGTTTAAGGTGCATTGTGACCAACTGTGGAATCCAAACCACATGCAGTGTCCTATCTAAAATTCCTCCCAGTTAGTGATGCAAATCTGAACAGCCGGCGGGTTCCTAATCGAATTAAATGTGCATCCTTGACTCTGTTAACGGTTGTTATCCTTCCTTAGTATTGGAACCGTTTTTATTCTTTTGTTTCTTTCAACTCTTTCATAATATAATGCAAAATATGTAGCCTTTGAGATGAAGAAAAAGCAAACATTTACAGAGTATGATCGAAAGTAGACTACTGGGGTCCACAAGCCACTTTATTTCCTGATGCATATCGTTATGAAGCAAGTGAACCCCACCGGCTTAATAAAACTACGATATCCATTGGCCGAATTGTAATGGATAGCACAGTATTTTATGAGTTTCGTTATACAGTGGCATGGGAATAAAAATAACAACCTTATCCAGGAATATTTTTCTGCTTCACAGACAGTAATATTTGCATGTGCGAGAATTTGAGAAAATCATAGACTCAAAGGTATACCTGGATATGGATCGCCACAACTTTACAACACCAAAAGAACTGACGATTGCTTCTTTATTTCGTTGAATCTATATAGTGAAAATGTCAGATGTAGGCAGATTTACACGCTATTTTCATCGTTAATGCTGTGTGTTTGTAATTCATCGAATTCCACTTTTCTATACAACATTTTAGGTCATATTTTGAATGTTCGAAAGTATAGCCAGTTGTATCACATCAATCAGCGTAACTCACGATAGCAAGTCTCTTAGCTTGTGAGTCATTCTGCAAAATGATCAACTGAATTCGATTAGCACTCAGGACTAGACAACATAAAATTGGTTACTCGTCTGTGAATAACCGGTGAATTTAATCCAGTCCTATAGTGGGTTAATAACGGTCCAAACAGCCTAATAGAAACTTTTCTGACTTTACCACCAAGGGTTTGAGTCTCTAGAAGATATTATTTAATTCACTATCATAGACTCACTTCAATGACGATTGCGATTAAGCACAAAACCATGATCAAAGTCTTCTTGCTGATCGGTTCGCACTTAATAACAACAAACATAGTTTATCCAACATTGAATACTTTCATATGAGGCTGCAAATAAATTATACTGTGCTGAAGTTTCCAAAATCGTAGTTAAACACATTTTTTGTTGATATCTAAAGCTTTCATAATTTGCTATGCTATGCTGGAATCATTTGTCAGGAGAAGTATAAAGAATGATAGAAAAAAGTGTTTCCAACAAGGTCACATTTTGCATGGAACCACAGTTTAACTAAAAATAACAGATTTATCAGTTATTGTTTCATTCAATGGAGAGTATTATGAAGCTGAATCCCGATTTTGGCTTTCACTGTGGCTAAAAGAAGAAAAGACGAATACAGAGAAAAACAATTTTTCTATTCTGAAAGCTTATTCTCTTGGCCACACATTTGATATTTGCAGTAGAAATGTTGGAAAATCCAAAAGTAATTTCAGATCAAATGTTTAAATTTATTGCATAAAATGAAAGTTTGCGTAATAAACTTAGGATTTGGAATATAAAGGGTTGTTAGAAAGTTAAATAAACTTTCATCATAAGAGGATAATCAAGAGTAGTCGATCTTTTATACTGGATAGGACAAAGAGAAACGTTTCACGGACTTCAACTGAATTTACAGTGAGGGTCTGAACATGTTAACTGGCTATACTTCAGCTATGTCCAAGTACCTTTTCGAATGACTTCATCCTAAATGATACGAAATTTGAAGGATATATTAAGACAGGTCAAATGTTCTGAATTTATTAACTGTTCTGCTACAGAGTTGATGACGTATTCCTGTTTTTCTTTTTTCCCCTCAGGCTGGATAGTATTCATTAGTGTTGCACGAGCTGGGAACTGATAGGCATCTCATGTGTTATAAAAAATTCAAAATGTTTGCGTTTATTTTCTACCTTAAATAATCATGGTGCAAAAAAGATAGAAAAACGCTGTTGATTGTTTTACTTATTCATTTAGTTGAATGGCGTTAGCTCTTTTCATTTGCTAGTGAAATGGTAAATCTATTAATCTTAGACAACTAACAGGAATAACATTCTGCGTAAGAGAATGCCTTCGCCTTCACAAAAGCATTAAAACGTTATGAAATTTATAGATAGAATGGAAATATCTCCCTACTTTGAAAGCTTCCAAAATCGTTGTGATTTAGAATAGTAATATTAATGTGACATTCTTGACACGCCAAATGTCAAACAGCTAGTCTGTAAATAATAAGTAACACGTCATATTACTATTCCTTTGCACAAATCAAACCCACATAATAACCTACCTATCTGTTCAAGATTTCCGGTATTTATGTTTTCAGGGAGCCCTGTGTGTATTAGTTGACTTCTGGCTTGAATCATATCTTATCTATTTCGAAAATGTCGTTACATTTAATAATGTACTACACAGCTGCAATCTCTTGTATTTTTCCGCCTCAACTAAGTGCTCTGAATTCGAAGTCTAGTTTTCTCCACTTCTCAAGGTTTGTTGAGGTGAATTTAAATCGCCTTTCTCTCAGTATTCACAAAATTCGTTGTACCCAATATTTGTGCCACCTGAAAACATCAAAGTGTAAAGCAAAAGGTGATGTACATTTAAAAAGGATTTTTGAATTAAATGTTTACTAAAGTTTCTAGGTTTCTGTGCCATAATGATATCTTTTCAAGGGAGAAGAAGCTAAAAATGTTTTAGGAGTGAAAAATACGTTACTTAGTTGTTTGAATACGCATTTGATGGGGAAAAATGATTATGACTTTTAGCATTTCTTCCATTTTGATTATTATTCAATGTTCCACAGCTTAATGGAATAAAAGCAAGTAAGGAGTGCTTTGATAATAATGGTTATATTTTTGCTTATCTTCTGGTTTCATCGTTTGCATTTTAAAATCGACAACATTCGCCTATATTTACAGTGATATGCGTTGTTTAAAGCAAAACCAGATTCTTTTACAAAATATTTATTTGATTCAGCAAAGTGTTTTGAAATTATGATTGTTTATTATTGTTTATCACTTAGAATAGAACTGATTAGGCGAAGAATATACGAAAACAGTAGGACTAGACAAATGTGTTACTATATCATCATTATTGTGTCTTGCAAAACGCAGAGTGATTGATCATAATCATAATGCAGAAACAAGTTAATAGAAATAATTTTTGTTTCGGTTGAATATAGTCGATCATGCCAGTCAGTAGGAATAATGATTCACCTTCCGAAGATATCGCTCTGGGGGCATATCTCAGTTGTTTGTAAGGATGAGTTGAGTGACCGAAATTGTTAATTTACAAAACATTCTTGGTGCTATAAATCTCAGTGATTGTGGTACACTTTAAAAATGCAGAAACGATTTCTGACTTCGCTTTAATCAGACTACGAACACACAGTGTTCTGCTTCCAAAGTTCAAGTTATTCATTACTGTACATGAATGTTTTATGATAACCACTCAGTGAGTTAACTGTGAGAAACCTCTCAGCATACTTGATGTAGGTGTATTTTGAATAGTAAGGTGCCATAAACGAATTAGATCACAGAAAAAAAAACCCAAAGCTCGACATGCTAAATAAACTATAGCGATACTAAATGCAAAAATCGTTTACAACTGGATTACAGCAAGATTAATTTTATCGACATTGAAAACCTCCATTCATTTCTTGATACGTTTTCAATTGTGATCTGATTTTTCTTTACAAAAATTGAGATACCTTTATACTCACTTATTCATAGGAATGAAATATTTTTACTAACATAACTACCTATTCCATTTTGAAGACAGTAGACTCATTTATCTGTTTTACCTTTGTGTTTCCAATAATATGGGTCTGGTCAAAATCAACTGTTCAACAAAAAAACAGATTTCGTAAAGGATTTTACACGGCATTTTCATGTTTCCCTTGGTGCAGAGCATATATCAAAAGAGAACGAAAGGGGACAACATATGAGACAAGAATAGCTACTCTACATAACTAAAGCATTGTATCCAACTACAAAACGTTGCTGTATAAATCACTAAATCATAAATGCATCTACGCATATATATATATATATGCGTGAATTTATACTGTACTGCATTTATCAGTGTGATGTACTGCTGAGAAATAGTTTATCAACTTAATCATTACCAACAAATAACTGACGATTATATATGTTGTGACTTACTTTTAATGACACTGAAGTAAATCAATTTCAGCTAAAATATGTGCATACATGTATTTCATAATGTACACACGCATAATGTTTTATTGTGATAATATAATCCACTTGACTACGTCATAAGATGCAAACGATCCAAAGGTGTTGTATTAAATTCCTTGTTTAGAGGTGAATAATTTATTCGACATGAATGTCGTCTGACAAATTTCATCTGTAATCTGATGGTTATTCTCAGATCATTAATATTTTCGTCAGGCATGAGAAGAAAACAAGTCCAATCCAAAATACACTTAGGAATGTGAACAGTGCAAAACAATGATTTTATCAAATCTGTTTATATTAGTTTATTTAACAATAAAACTGTATTCTGTCATATGCTTGAATATACAAAATCAAAATTTTGTTGATATTCGATCTTCAGTTCCGTATTCAAAATGGAAAGATATTGTTTAGTTGTATTTTTTCAAGTCATCTTCAAATTTTTCAGTGTGCCATTCCTTATAAACAGGATAATTATTTATCAACTCTTTTCACTTTGTCCCAAAAAAATGAGTTATTATGAAATATGGAAATTAAAATATTCATTGAAGACCAAGATTTTGCTATAAACTGTCTTGAAAAAAACTGCTGAAAAAACAACAAATTGAATGAAGTATTGAAATCTGCATTTTTTACCAACTGATAGTTTTGTAATTCATTCACAAAAATTGATAAACAGTATCTCTATGAAGCAAACATTGGTGAACTAAACACATTGTTGAACTAAAGAATAAAATTAAAAATCAAGTTAGTGAAAATGCGTTCTCATCACCAGTGATAAACACATTTAACAGAACCACCTATAAACTAAGAGCGAATGAAATGAACATACTTCTTACTGTTTAAGATGGATATATTTTCGTGTTCTTTTGCAACTGATCTGATGCGGAATGAATATCAGACTTATGCCTACCAACTCTTTTGTGTTAATTAATGAATAAATAGGGCAGGTAGTGTTAAGATGAATGACTAATTAGGGCTTGTACGAAACAGTGTATGTTCCTTTGCTATAACAAAGCGTCTTTTAGACTGACATTTGACCGCTAGATATTCATTTCGTCAGATGAAGTGGGTAGTTTTCATAAACTTTTTGTGACGAGTTAAGCAGCTTCCAAAGCACGTAGCTTTAAATAAACTGTGTGCCATTGTTTTCAGCGAATTTGGTACCGTCTCAGAATTGATTGTTACAAGCCTTATCCCACATAAGCCCTCTAAAGTTTATGAACATATATTGTAAGATGAGTTGCTATATATTTTCAAGTTAGCATGGAAAACAAAACATTGACAATTGAATCAGGTGTGAAATATGACTGTTGATGTGATATTTCTTCAAAATAATTTTTTGCCAGAGCATAAAAAGCATGACCGAAAATTGTTAGTGATTTTGTGTTTACAAACTCCGGACTTCCACCAGTTGGCATGCATTCAATCAACGCAAAAACAATAAGACCTGATAAGCAGTCTTTTCCTTGATATTGTTTTAAATAAAAGAAAAGGCAAAATTCAAAATGTTTATTATCTTAAATTCCAAAAGTTTGAGATGGATGAATACCAAGAACAGTTATCACTAAACTATTTCATTTTTAAGCATTATATGATATAGTTTTAATGATAACCCTATCTTTTCAAAGTAGTCATCTAAGTATTTCGTATAACAGTACACGATAATTCCCAAAAATATTTTAGGATCCTAAACGGATTTTTAGCTCATCTATCGTAAGACGACTGAGGATTGAATTTCAAAGTAATCCCAAAAACAGTTTTGACTTGAACGATAGAAAAATTTGGGAAATGATGATTCAGCTTGAACACACATTAAAAGTATGAAACATAAGAAATGGACTGTAGTGTGTAATGTAACGCTTGCCTTGAAGTGTTCATCAAACGCTAAAAGTTTAATGACATAACCAGTAAATTAAGAACAACTTATTAGTTGGAAAAAGCTTGCTACCGAATCAAATCAACAGCTTTATTGACAAACGTTTTATTTCTGAGTATTCATTTAACAGTCGGAACTAATTAACACGGGGCTCATAGATCCGGTTACGTACTACCAACATTTTGATGATTACATCTGTTTACAAACTACACAAGCTAATATTCATCAGTATTACTTATACGTGGTTTAGGATTCTCAACCAGTCACCACTGAGATATCCAGAAAATTTATGGCAAGTTTAGTTCTTTAAACACTATCACAGTCTTTTTGGGACAAAACGATACAATATCTGGTGATAAGCAGGAATACAGTAGACGTTTGCGCAAATGTAACTGTTGAAAACGAAACTTCGTTGTTATAGAGATTACCAAAAAGTATGTAGAAAATAACCTTAGAGCTCAGACTGCGTAAATTTGACCTTAAAAAGAAATATGAGAATTGTTACATGACAAAAGGTAATACTAATAGTTTAAAGTTGCCATTATTCTAAAGAGAAATGGACCAAAGAAAATAGATATAACATGAACTGGTGGAGATACACATGACCCAAACGTTTCTCACATGATGACTGAGCGTTTACTACTGAGTGGTAACAAGAAAGGTGTTTCGTTGAAAAGCATGCAGAAAATAACTCTAAATACAAACAGGTAGTTTCAAGGTGGATGCGATGCATGTATTTTCGAGGATACTTGTTCATCCATATCACACTTCATTATACGTTTTGAAAAGTAGGTTAACTCAAACAATGGGTAGGAAATTTCTTCTTGGTTAGCTATGAATCACTTTCTTCAGTTCACTTTGATCACCTTATTTTATGGACGCACGCCAAATCTGATCACCAAATCACTTTGCATGTGCATATTTCCAAGAACGTTCCCAGTAACACTTTGTCTAGAAGTAAATAGGTCTATAATAAACGGTCGACAAACGAATATTAAAAGATTAGTTTTCCAAAAGCCACATTACTTCACCAGCGTCGTCCACTGGATTTATTTTGAAAGTAAGCTCTAAAGGAGTTCGATTCCCAACTCATAAATGTTTTAAACACATTAGAAATTCGATAAACGATTGACGTACGTCTACTCACTTAATAACAAAAGCGTTTCTGTTATCGCAAATCCCTCGCATCAAACTGTACGTATTTCCATATACATTAAAATAATATACTTCGCATGAACAACTTTCTTCAGTTATTAATACCTATGCAGGCTAGTACGTTTGTAGATGAAAAATTACTCTAGTGAAAATCAGAATAATCTGCTTCAGCATCAATCTGACAAAAATTGTGGCATTACAAATTTAGAGATAATCATTTATTAACGTATTCTCGTTTTTTTATTACTGCAGATCATCATGAACAAATCGTATTTATTTTTGATTTATAACTTGGAGGGGACAGAAAGCTTATTACATACTTAAAAGTACACATTACTCTCTCAATTCTTTCAAAAGTTAATAGATATCAGTTTAATGACCTGCCATGTATTTGTAAGCACCTAGGCAACTGATTCACATTCAGTTTTCTGCATCTCTTCCTTTTATTATCAACCACATTCTATTTTCATATGAAAAAACTCTCATCAACACTCCGCTTTAATACTTTCCCTGTCTACTTGGTTACATCCACGGTTTCACTGACTGCTCTTGCACCATATTATGTGAATCATTAGTAAAACGTAGTCATGTGAAGAAACCTTGTTAACGAGAACTTCGTTGCAGTTCACTAAATCAACTTTCTAATTGGCTGTATCATGTAAAATTCGTCTCTAATGAAACGATCCTTCGTAAAGCATCCTGAATTAGACAATGTGATGCTGTTTCATGGCTTAAAACAATAAATTTAGAAATCTGACGTCTGAGTTTCGCACAGAATCTTACTATGAATGCCTGAAATAGTGACGTCTTCATACGGAATAAGCATTCGATATTTATTACTGTTTCTAAAGGACAATGGTTGAACATCTACTATGTTCAAACCAACGTTTCTTGGTTGCTTGTAGACATAGTTAGCTTTAGTCATTCAGTTATCTTTTGCTAAGTATATAAAAAACAATCAATTTAAACAACACTTCTTTTTAAAGTTACAAACAAGTTACAAGCAAAAGTTGAGCGGACGATTAGAAACATAGCCTGCAGCATATGTCCCTATTCAATATGATAAACATATTAAAACCCATCTTTCTTCCATCTCATCTAAATTCTGTCACAGTTTAATATGTATTTCTATCCTGTAAGAGTCAGTAAATAGATGTGCGAACACCACCTTAACTCACTATATAATTTTAACTCATATCAACATATTAATTACAAGGTGTGCTTCCGTAATGTACTTCCATCTCATTTGAATCACACGCTTTATAGCAGTTTTGTCTTAAAAAACTAAACTTGATGAACCTTTACAGAAAATCGGCATTCATGCATATTAGTTGTCTTCCGAACATTTTCTCATCGAAAAACTGGAGTCTGTAGGTGGAATAAGTTAGTGACTGCTTCAAAGATCAAAAACTAATTTTTGCACAAGCTAATTGTATTTTCATGTGGATGTAAAGTAAAACCGAAAGGTGTGCAGTCGATAAAATGCGATCACGTCTAATATAATGCTTAGGAGCCAAGCTGTTATAAACAAGGGTAATACCATGCGTTATATCAACCAATCTAAGCTTTATGAATTTGTGGCAAATTATTTAATTTGACTGAAATTCTTGTGCACTCATTTTTTTTAATGAAGAGACAAATATACGTTTTTTGTTTGATGGACCTACACAACTTCCCTATAGCATGAAGTGGTGCATCTGAGATTTGCGTTTTAACTACGAAACACTACTTTTCCAGAATGAGT